CCCTGTTGAGTTGGTTGACCCGAGCGGCGCCGACTATGAAGAAGAGCCGGTCGACGAGGAGATCGAAGTCGAGCGGCCGGGTGTGGAGCCTATCGGGAAGGTGGTAGTCGAGCGGTCCGGCACGGAGCCAATCGGGGAGCGGGGGTGCTGGGACCAAGCCGATTGATGAGGGTGGAGATGCCACTGAGAAGTCGACAGCCGACTCCCAGAAGGCTTAGATTTTTTTTGTTTTAGTTGTAATATTTGTATTTCTTTTTGTGCTCTTTTCCTCTTCTTTTCTTTGCCATCTCAACCTATTTTCCAATGTAAAGGTTGAGATGGTTTCCGATGTAGCCCATTTCTTTTTAATATAATGTTTATCATTTCTGTTCTTTGTTTCATTACTTCTACATTTTGTCGATTCTTCGCGGTTACGCTTGTGATTTTTCTTTTAATTGATTGGTTCTTTATTTCGTCTTACTATGTCTTCTCCCAACCCTTCTTGCGAGCTGGTCGAAGTCGAGCAATGATTTTGACAGCTTCGTAGCTGTTGAACAAAGTTTTTCGAGTCGCCTTCTCCCAATCCTTCTTGCGAACTGGTCGAAGTCGAGCAATGATTTCGACAGTTTCGTAGCTGTTGAACAAAGTTTTTCGAGTCGTCTTCTCTCAACCCTTCTTGCGAGCTGGTCGAAGTCGAGCAATGATTTCGACAGCTTCGTAGCTGTTGAGCAAAGTTTTTCGAGTCGTCTTCTCCCAACCCTTCTTGCAAGCTGGTCGAAGTCGGGCAATGATTTCGACAGCTTCGTAGCTGTTGAACAAAGTTTTTTGAGTCGCCTTCTCCCAACCCTTCTTGCGAGCTGGTCGAAGTCGAGCAATGATTTCGACAGCTTCGTAGCTGTTGAACAAAGTTTTTCGAGTCGTCTTCTTCCAACCCTTCTTTCGAGCTGGTCGAAGTCGAGCAATGATTTCGACAGCTTCGTAGGTGTTGAACAAAGTTTTTCGAGTCGCCTTCTCCCAACCCTTCTTGCGAGTTGGTCGAAGTCGAGCAATGATTTCGACAGCTTCGTAGCTGTTGAACAAAGTTTTTCGAGTCGCCTTCTCCCAACCCTTCTTGCGAGTTGGTCAAAGTCGAGCAATGATTTCGACAGCTTCGTAGCTGTTGAACAAATTTGTTTGAGTCGTCTTCTCCCAACCCTTCTTGCGAGCTAGTCGAAGCCGAGCAATGATTTCGACAGCTTCGTAGCTGTTGAACAAAGTTTTCGAGTCTCCTTCT